TAATATGAAGCTTCATATTATTATTTTTTAGAGGAAGAGTTTTCCCCCTGAAAAAGTACATAACAAGGATCGTGTACATAAAGCAGTAAATCGTGCTTCTGATTGCCATACAGACGATGAAACAGAAAACGACGTCTACTACTCTTCATAAAAACCTATTGAAATAGCCAGGATATTTTAACGGATACTCTGCGTAAGCTTTACACCATCTCCACCTCCTACTAGGACCCCGCCAAGGCAGTAGGCCCCTAGGCAAGGAAGAAGTCATTATCGCCAGAGCTATTAGAGTTACCCGTAATTTGGTGATCAACCATTATAAATAAAAGGTAACTTTTTTAGTTTCACATGAGGTATCCATACAGGATCATACTTGCGAGCAAGGGAAATCATCTAAAAGTTAGGATAAAAGACGTAACCACAAAACGGCACCTCTTCTTCCTTGACGAAATCTCCGAAATCCTTGAGAACTTCTTGTTCGTCAAACGATTGATCTTGATCTGCGTCATCCAAACCTACAAGTTTATTTCTTCTCAAGGGAAGATAAAGACATTATTGTTATGATAGACATACCGTCCATCGCGTTGAACTGGGATTCTAGGAAAGAACGCTCCTCATCGTTTAGTTCTAGGGCAACACCATCTTCACCAATGATGACACCACTGTCAACATGTGGTACAGACCGTGAAGACGAAGATGGGACCGCATCAGAGTTCCCTCCTCGAGAGTTCACTCCCCATGCGTTCTTCCGCATTTCAACCACACTCATTATTTGAGTTTTGACCATTCTGCAATTCGGCCATTTTTTTAACCCGACGCCACTGACAATGAGAATGACTGGTAAAGCTCACTCGCTGAGATGTGGATGTCCTTTAGCAAACGCTACCATCTTCGTTAGAAGTTGGTTCATCTGCGGCTCCGTTACATTTGAAGAATCCAAGTGTCGCCCGCACAACTAAAAAAGTTAGTGTAAACGAAACACAATGGGCATAATATATAATCAATAAAATCGAAAAATTGTGAACAGAAAAAAATCAAACACACTTTCACGAGCTGAACAACCGTTTTCATGAGACTATCGCTCATTTCTAGCTTTAACAAATCATCGAGCTGCTCTAACAAAGCCTCCCCGACTTTGTCTATACGGCCTCCGTTGTCCTAGAAAAAAAGTAAACATTGAAATTTGCAGTACGTTTCGAAAAAAGTAAAAAAGTATAAACGCTGAGAAAAAGTGATAGAAAAAGAAAGAAGGGTAACTGTCACAGAGATCCCTCCCAAACATTAAAGATCACTCCATAACACAGGATACGTCACTAGCCTAGTAATTTAAATTTTTAATTATCGGGTCTACTTGTGTCTCAACTCGATATGATTAATGATGTTTTTGAACTGAATTCGTAGTAGAACCTGGCTCTACAGCAAGGAAAGAGCCACAGGTTCCACTACGAATCCATTTAAATTTCGTATCAGCACAAATTCATATCACATTTAATGAATAAATAAATATATAAAGAAATATCAATTCATACTATTTCCTGTGTTTGACTCTGGACTGGATGCGACTCTCGCTGCTCCTCTCAACATTTTGATTACCGTCTCCTTTTTTCACCACGAAATATCGGAAAAAGCACAGCGAAGAATGCGCAAATACTGTCATTCCCCGACATTTCCACCAAAGACGTATGAAGGATCAGAAATACAAAAGGAGTTTCCCGTAAAAAATAAAAGATAAATGCAGCAGTAAAACATAACAAAAATGTTTGATATTTCTGAAGAAGCATTAGGAATCACACGCGTTTCATTCACTATTATTAAAAGAAATCCAAACGCTATCAATATATTACAGGACCAACCTGCTGAAGGTGAAACTTCCGTACAATTCGTTGCAATATCGCTAATGATTACGATGTTTTATGTATAGAAAGAATCCCTGCTTTGGGCGCGTTATGATCGATACAGTTCCCTTAGGAGGGGTTAATTATTTAGTTAGTTACTTCCAATCAATTTGAGTTGTTTACATGCAAATTTAAGCTACTCGTGAATCCGTAGAGCCCTAGGTTTCAAATAAACGTTAGTATCAGAATGAGTAAAATTTGAAAAACACGATAAAAATGAAGAGTATAAGGGAAAAATTATGTGTGAACTGACAGTTTTGAGTTGAGACAGGATTCGCTATGTATGGGATCAGCACAGCAAAATAAGAGTACTTCCATAAAATGTTTTCCGGGTCACAGCTAATTTTCGCGAATTCAAATATAAGAAGAAAAATTTGAGCAAAAATCCTAGTACCATCTCTATCTTCTCGTAGACCTCCGCAAAGAAGATACATAGATTGATTCTATGCTCTGGATGAAATGTGAGGCGTTTTCCGTGGAAATCACAAAGCAACTTCAACACGGCGTCACGTAGTAAAGTAGGGATCTGAAAGAAAAACAGTCAAACGACCGCGTAATAAAATTCCGGTGCCACGTTCAATGATTCCAGCAAGTGCATACCTCCAAACATAAGAAATTCAACAGCCGAGCTAGCGTATGTTGCGGGTTGTTCCCAGACAACGGACGAGAAGCTACCGAGACCGCCTATTAAAAACAAGTGTAAATGGAAATGAACACAATTTGCGAAAAAAAAAACAACTCACCATTTCAAAAATCATATGCACTGCGACCGCACGAGTCGGTGGTGACATACGTTTTTCTAGCATTCTATCTCGAATAGCTCCGGCCCATGAGTCAAAGTCATCAGTGTCGCTAAGAATTTGCTCCAAACCAACTTGGATCTAATAAATGCCATGTAAAACACGCATTGAAAAAATTGGAAACTAGGTCGGATTGACAACGTACTTCTTGAAGAGACACAACATTGTCACTTTGAACCATGTCGTGGTGCAACTCTTGCGAAGGAATGTATCTAAATCGCAAAAAATGAAGCATATTATTCAAAAAAAATCAAAATAGTTAATTAAAAATAATCAAATTTAACCCGAAAAATAGAGGCGAAACCTACTCTTCTAATACAGCTCCATTTGGGAACTGATTGTACATAGCCTCATACGCACGTACATCTGCATCTTCACCAGAGTAAAACGACATGGTCTGCCCGGATGGCTGCAACGAAACAGTACAGCACCTAACCAAATGAAAATATCGAAATGATGCTCTAGCCGAAAAAGTTACACATCGTGTTATGCTGGAAATAGACGTTTGTATTACTTTTCATTCAATCAGCTATTGAATAGACAGGGAATTGCATAAGGGCAGCCGCGAAAGCCGATACTATTTGAACACAACTGCTTCACAAGAAGTCTTCACGAATACCATTACAACAACCGCGCTATAGAAACAAACTTCACTAGCAGCCGATGTTCACGCGACTGACCCCAGCGCTAAATAAATTTGTCCCAGAAGAGAGTTTGGAGCGCCTCCCATGCAAACAAAAGGTTGTCGTTGCCATGTGGCGTGGATGATTTTTTTGAAAGGGAAAGTACAATTGAGGGAGCTGAATTGGTTCAAGGCGCTTTTTTCAACAAATTCACGGCTGTCAATTGGAGAAATGAATGTCGAATATCGAGTGAGGCTACACAGCGAATACGGCTGAACGGGGAGAGATAGAACAGGGTATTTGCGATCGGACGAGTCGACGATTCATGCGATCAATACTAGCGAGTTCGTTGAACGCCTCGTCGGAACGCCGATCCTATACAAACGAGATCGTGCAAGCCTCTCAACTAGGGCGCCAACCTCGGTGTCGTCCACGAAACGCGGGTCTCTCATCAATGAAAAATTAGATGTGAAGCTTTCAAAACAATTCCCTGAGGACGCAAAACCTAATCCCTGCGGGAACCTGATGCATGCTGCAAAACACAATTGTGAGATGGCTAATTCGATGGAGGAGCTAGTATGATGGGAAAATTGCAGCTACTAACGTGTGGGAAACTCGATCCAATTCACGACGAGATTTCGATAGTATGTGGGGTCCCAAATAGGAAGACATTTTACCAAGCATCACACTTCTTTGAAATAAGACCACGTGAGGAAATGTGAAAAGAGGCTGAGGAAGGATTTGAGGAATACTGAATATAGAGAAAAGTTTGAGGAATACTTTGGGTAAAATGGTGATACATACTCCGATTAATACAAATCGGATGCTTGTGTGACAAGGAACAATCACACCTTTGTGACGGTATTGAAAAGGTCGCACAGCATTTCGGCAAAAAATTATGCGAGAAAGGGAATCGCACTACGCTCAGAAGAGTTGGTTATGCCGAAATTACAAAATTTCACCACTTTGTTGTCATGAGACCTTCCGAAATGTGAGAGGAATTTATCAAGTGAGGATGTAAGTGAAATTTGCAAATATTTAGTTAGCGAACGTGTCGCACGAACTACAGGAATCGTTACAGCGGAGTTTATAGAACACTTGCAAAAAAGATAAACAAGTGTTCTTAGTTCGCCTGATCTGCCTCTAAGTTCCGTAGTGATCTCTAGTGACACTAGCAGATTTCCATAAGCATTAGGTAACTACACTATCACCGAAACGTAGCATTCCCAAGCAATAACTTTAAGGTAATTAGAAAGCAACCATCTTATCCATGAACTTTCAAATGAAGAAAAAAACTGCGAGAAAACATTAGCTTCGATATGACTCACTCGCGCCCCTCACGTCGTTGGGAGGGAGAGGAGCAAACCAGCCCTTTTGGCGTTTCTGCTGGGGCCGTATGCTGAATGTTGGGGGGGATGGGTCCCGAGGTCGACGGACTACTTGAACTCGGTCGGTACGGTAGGAGAGTGATGACGAAGTGGTGCAGCTAGGTCCAGCAGCTCCGCCAAAAGGGCTGGTTTGCTTATCCAGGACTAAGCCTTGAAGAGTGGCGAGAGAGCGCAGGTCCGTCCTCTCTTTAAGGCTTAGTCCTGAGGTAGCATCAAATTGAGGCGAATTTAAGGACCACTTGAGGTTCATCACGACGCGGGACCCATCCCATCTCCACATTCAGCAGTACGCCCCAGCCGAAACGCCCAAAAGGCTGGTATGGCATAGCTTCGTTGCAGAGGGGAGGGGGATACATTCGTAAGCGGCCACTCACAACTACCCCTTAGGGGAATCAAAGAGAGATTCGTTCCAAGTAGCCGTCTTTCGTTGCTTCTGGCATTCCTCCCCTTTGCTCCGGGTAGAACCCTAGTTTGACCCCATCTGTTCTTACCATTCCTGTTTCGAGCCCCCACAAGGGCTCAACCATACACTTATACAAAATGCACTACCACAGTGTGAAGAATTGTCATTCGGTCTGTTTGTCTGTCACTTCACCTGCAAAATGCCGTCGATGTGATAAAGAAAATAGAACGAAATACAACAGAAAAAATGACACCAACAAAAGCACGCGGCTCTGCGGTATAAACCCGAAATGTTCTGCTTGCGATAAGCTCCCTATCTGAAGAAAAAAATCACAGCTGTCATATGCGGAGATGAAGAATCCGCTAGCAACAGTATGACCCTATCAGTGTCAAGGAAAGATTAACCCTTTCGGACCTGAATTTTTCCCCGTGGAGAAATTTTTCTTCTAGCTATTGTTTATTACTTGTGAGCATATAGGTATCATTATGGCGAAATTTGGAAGCTATTCGATCACAAACAAAGAAACTAAGAAGCTTTGAAAATTGGCCCACCTTCTTAGTTTTTAAGCTTATGTCGAAACAATTCGAAATTTCATAGTTATGCCGAAAAAGTTTATAATCTTGCATAATATTATAACCCATAATTTTGATTTAGGAATGGATCTACTTCAAGTATTTTAAGAAAAAGTCACACTTACTTGGCCGGTTGCGGGGGTCAGCGCCCATTCATTGTTGCACTTGTACACAAATACTTGTAATACTAACAGCAATAAACAATGAAATGGCCGGTTAAGCTCATAATTAGGAAGGGGAAGGTTGACTGAAGCAACTCTAGCAGGATTAGAAAAACCATGCTGTTTCAGCGGAAATGCAAGCGTTTGAATTTGGTGGTGGCAATTGCCACCGCCAGGGCCGAAAGGGTTAAAACATGCGTAATGAGGAACCCATCTCTCTTGTAAGACGCCCACTTTTTGCATACACCCACTCCACAGTCGCAAAGAAAAAAGTGAGTAAAACGGCGAAACGGGTCTACGCAAGCAGGAAAACTGAAATCCTGGCGGCTGCCGCAGAAAAACACCGGTTTCGAAATGACTATTGAATGAAATCGCTCTGTAACAGTACAATAGCAAGCGCATGCTGAAAGGCGGCCACGTGATCCGAATTTAACAACGAAAACATTCATATTAAAATTGCATGCATCGTGTACATACAAGTCTACAGAACAAACCCATGGCATAACGTGTGAAGAAAGGTTGGCTATAAAAACTGGTCCTGGCAAACCTGTCCTGCAATTACAGCTTCATCGCTCAGTGTGCCAACGCGTCACAGGTTTGATTCAAATGCTTTGATTATAATTTGGCGCTATCGCAATATGCGAGGGCATCCTCTAAACTAAGCCTAGGTGGGAAATAATATATACTCGATATCGGTGAGTTGGGGTGGGCGTGTCACCGGAAGTGACGTGCACTTGATAGAAACAATGTAGGATAAGCTGCTTCCAACGTACATCGCTGGATATCAGCAAAGCATGCTGGCTTATCCACGCAATTTTCTATCAAGTGCACGTCACTTCCGGTCACACCCACCCCAACTTTCGGATATCGACTGTACTTCGACGGAATAGAACATTGCTCACGCACTAGGGAGTTTCTCTTCCCTGTATGTCAGTCCGATTTTATCAAAAATGAGGTGTTTTAAGCGTTTTAAATGCATGCCACCACATGCCCCGTATCTTGCGACAGCGCCTATAATTTTATTTGAAATATTTGTTGACCATCCAAAAAACTGTCTGCCGTACCGGAACCTCTTTTTACAAGAACCCTTCCTTTGCACCTATGCGCACACTACGGGGCCGTATTCAATCATTCCCCAGACGATATGCGCCCCTCTCTGATTCAAATCCTCTGGGGGGACAAAAAAAGGGTTGCGTCATAGGACCTCGCATACCTCTGTGTTTCTACCTGCCAGACAGTTAGAGCAGCGCGACCCCTCAGGGGAAAAGAGTGCTTCATCAGTGGAGGGTAGTAGCGCTGCTCTAACTGTCTGGCAGGTAGAAACACAGAGGTATGCTAGGTCCTATGACGCAACCCTTTTTTGTCCCCCCAGAGGATTGAATCAGAGAGGGAATATATCCCCCTGGGAGAAGGATTGGATACGGCCCCTGATAGAAAGGATAAAGCGCGCCGCATAGAAATCCAATGAAACTCCTAATCTGGCGAACCAGTTCATACACGTTTTAGGCAAACCTCAGTAACACGCATTTTAACCATAAAAATTTGCAGTCGATAGCTGAGTTGGGGTAGGCGTCACCGGAAGTGACGTGGCTGCTGCCGCACTTGATAGAAGTTGCGTGGATAAGCTGTTGCTTTGCTGATATCCAGCGCACGACATCTATCAAGTGCGGCTGCTACCGGTGACACGCCTGCCCCAACCTTGGAGATGGACTGTACAGAACTCAAGGTATTTTTAAAAAAAAAGCTGCGCGATTAAAAAAGCACCGATAGTTCATAGATTTACAGACTAGACATCCGAATCAAAAGCACGTCCAGAAATCTTCCTTGGTAAGGAATTCGTGAAGGAGGGAGTGCATTTATTTCGGAAGGAGGAACTGGATTGTAAGCGCCGGGAACAGTAATAATAGCGCCAGTAATGACCGAGCATCGATAGCCTGTCCTCGGGACGTCAGGATCACGGCTCGCATCTTATGTAGCCGGATGTAAAGCACACGGCGTGTCACCGAATGGGTCCAACCGCTGACTGTGCTGGTTATGCATGTTGGGACAACCATTTACAGGTTCCTTGCATACGCGCAATACGCACAATCACGAATAGAACGAAAAACACTAACATTAGGTTGGTGGAAGTTCCTTGGTACAAATGCTGCAGCATTCGGGTTGAGCGGAAAGTTGGGCATTTGTCCATGGACTTGCATTGGAGGCGTATTGGAATCGGATCTAAAAATACATAAACAACATAGCGGAAGCAAACTCGAGAAAATGTTCTAACCAGAAAAATTAGGAGCTCCTCTGTTACCATATTGAACAGGTACGCCGAAGTTGTTGTGATTATAATAATCAGGAGCCCGTGTCTGTTGCTGGTAGCCGTTGTTCTGTTGCTGGTAGCCGTGTAACTCCACAATGCTGCATAAAAACATTAACATCTAAACGCATAAGTTGCCAAGCAACAAAAACAACGATTTGAATGAGCACAAGGAAATTCCCAACACATTACATAACGAGACTGCGCTCGTCAGAATTTGCGATCCGTCGCGCAAATAGAGCCAATCCAGCTTATGAGAATGTAGCATACGTATGCGGTAGACTTGCAAGCGCATATGTATGCTATCTCATAAAAGTGTACAGGATGAGCCATTCTCACTGATGCCTAGTTCAGTCGAATCTACAAAAGGCTGACGAGGCCGGGTACAAAGGTCGTCCTATCGATGGGACAAACGAAGCCCGCCACGGTATGGGTCCAGGGACACGTAGCATGGAATTGATGCATCTGAGCGAAACGCGAAAAGTCGCTTTCTGTCCTAATGGACCTTACCCGGTTTTGGGGTCAGACTCCATCTCCAACCTGACAAATTCTCGTTGTCCTAACAATTGAAACCTTGTCAAATTGAAGCTTGTGAAACAACACAGAAAAACTTGCACTTTGGAAACCCGGAGTAGTGAATTACAAAGCAATGAATGACACCAATATTGAAGCCGATTAGATCCTTCTGTTTCGCCCTCCAAGTGTGAAACAGAACGAACAGTACTCCGACAAAAGCCCGGAATAAGTCAAATTCTACTAGGTTGTTCAGAAAATAATGCGGCGTTCTACGACCTCCATTCTTCCAAGCAGTATTCGTATGCCCAATTCGCATTTCTAGTCATTTGAAAAGTATTGGAAACTACGCATTTTCTTCAACAAGAAGCAAGCTGAGTTAGTATGCAAACTTGAAATATAGACCCCATGGAAGAGCGAAAGTCCTCGTAGGTCCTTCCCACCATGCCTCGGTTTGAACCTTTTTCTGCACAAGAAGCTGCTGAGATGGCTTAAAAAGAGGAAGCTGTGAAGGAGAGATAACGCAAGTGCATGTGAAGCAAAGCTGAGGTCGAATTGGCCATTCCTTCTCGTGACACACATGTGACTGGGGTCAACTGCTGTTGCTGGTGCATCACGTACGTGCGCTGGACAGACATTGGTATTGGATCAAGTCCACCTGAGAACCCAGGGAAAGCAACGACGCTCATGACATCGATAGCCAATAGCTCATCCACGTAGTTCTTCCCCTTCAACGCAACAGTCCAGGAGGTTTCAGACATTTTGGTTTTCAAGTGTGGGACATGCCTCAGCCTGATTGGCATCGTGGGAAATGTCACAACTAAAAAAACAAACAAACTTCAAACTTACCTCTGAAAGGCGTTGGAAGCAGTCGAAATCCTTCAAGAGGGGCGGATCCACCGATCCGTGGTGGGGCCGCCTCCAAGCAGCTGTGCAGAGCGCTTGCTCGACTAGCGGTCGTTGCGGGACCGCCGCGCTGTATGAGGTCGATTCCATAAGAACGCAATTGAAGCGCTTCAATTTCGATTGCTGGCAAATAGTTATGTATTTGCAAGCATGCATGGCTATTTGCCAGCAGTTGCAATTGGAGCGCATGTACTACGGGCAGGTTCGGACAACTCGTCCAACACACGTCTCCCTAAACGGCAGGGGGAGTCCCTGTCTAAGCCCCTGCCCGACGTTTTACCACTCTCCCTGCAACGTCTCCGTAATGGTGCCACTACCCGAAATTCGTTCCTGCGAATTGGGCGTCACAAAGCCATCAGCGTGGTCTTCACCTTAAGAGAGTTCTGCTTTCGAAAACGGCCGCATAACTTTTTAGAAAAATAGTATAACAAATCAAGCGGCGTTGACGGTCATGAAACGGACGATTAAATCGCTTTAAGAAAACTTTACTGAGTCCCTTTACAGCAAGGCTGCATTTTTTAAGAGCCGGCAGTTCTTCTTCAACTCTGAGGCGGAGGTGGGGTCCCCAAAACCACATCTCTACTCAGGTCAATGACACAGCAGGGATTCGTTCAGAGAGCCAGTTTTGGAGCCCATCCCGTGGCCCCAAGGAACCACATGATTAGTAATCGAAGTAGGCAAGAAACCTTCCACCATCTTCCAAACAAACAACTACTTTTTACCGTTGTATAAAATGTCTGAGGATTCCATTCTGAACATTTATGAGCAACAGGATCTGGTACTGGAGGGCCTTAAAGGCTGAAAGGGAGATCTGGCGGTTTTGCGGCAAAAGGTAGGGAAGTTGCAGCACACAAAGCTCCAAAATTGAAAGCGTGAAGTTCGAATTCGCTCCACCCACTAGTTCAGTAGGTGACTTGACGAGTAATGCTGCTCGTAGCGGCAATAACACTTTCACTTCGAAGAGGCATTTCACTTCAAGCGGCCTTATCTCTTAACTACTGTGTTATCAACCAGAACTTGTTGTTTGTTGAAAGATAAGAGTAGTCGAGATCAACACGTTCGAACAACTTCTCGCCTGGCCGCCGCTTACCCATAGTCGAAAATTAACGCGCAAATAAGGGGGTCTCATTTTTCTCGTTAATGAAGGATTTCTCTGCTTATTTGCTACTGGCACACACATCCACTCTGAACCTGTCAAGAACCACTTGCAATCACTGCCTTTACGGCGTTAGCTGATATCCGAACAAGTGCGTGAGAAATATCGCAAAAGAGGATCTAACCTGATACCATATCACCTCTGGCATAAGGCGTCTATACGCATACAGTTCATATCTCGCCGTCTCATTTGCGAGTCTACGGATTTGACGTGCCGAAGGCCGCACTTGACAGAAGTCGTTGAATAAGCAGTTTTATGAATGTTGTGCTGATTTCCAGCGAGTGTGTTGGAAACAGCATATCCACATGTCTTCTATCAAGTGCGGCGGCCGCCACGTAGTCCATAGACACGTCGGCGCTCATGTCGTTGGGGGGGGCATTCAAGTTAGTGAGCCAATTGCTGTGCTTGGGACTAAGCCTTAGGCAGGGGAAGGGATTCTGGGGTAGGATGTGAGCAATGTATGTGTTCTCCCTGGCGTTTCTCCCCTCTCCTGGGCTTAGTCCAAGTGTCACCTACCATCGGCTCTGTTGTGATGTCCCCCCCCCCCCCCAAGGACATGAGCGCCGAAAGTCGTATAACTTCGTATGGCAATGAACTGCTATACGAAGTTATTCTGTATGAGATATGATATATTGATATTTTTTCACACAAAATGTATGATTGGTGAAAACAGCCACATTAGAAAAACATTTCTCCTGAAAAATGAGCAAATTTTTTCGGACCGTCTTTCTGCAATGTGTGGCCCGGAAAGTCGTAGTAGCCCGTGATTGAAACAGAATAAGAAAACGTTTCTCCCACTTAACAAATACAATACGTGTTGCTGCCTTGAAATTTGTCAAGGCAACATTCCTAATCCTTCAAAGGACTGTAATAAATGTGAGTTCGAAGTTTGTTTTTACCTAGTCGGTAGCAGCACTGAACACGAAAAATCATAACGTATGAGAAAAAGGACAGGTGCTATTATTAAAATATTATTTAGTGACATAAACAGAAGAATTCCAATACAAGTGTGCAGTTTATCTTCTGAAGACATACTCACTTTAGAATTAACTGTTTATTTATTTATTTATTTATTACTATGCACTCGTAGGTGCGCTACAATAATTAGTCAGAAACCAAATCGTTATAAATCGGAAACATCGACTTAAAGTAAACACAATTTAAGCAGTATTTTACCCACAAGCGGAAAGTTCACAGACACATATTATTCGAAATCGTTGATGCCTAATAAGGCAAGTAAGTCAATGTTCTTTAATTTTCTTTTGAACGTATCGGTGTTTTGTGCCAGTTGCAAGTCTGAAGGTAATAATTGAAGCCATCTCGCTCCGCGAAAGCATAGCGAGTTAAAAACCTGAACCTGATGATTTCTGTATAATCTAGGACATTGTAGTGATAATGAAGTGATGCGACCTCTGCTCGGTCTCATTATCCAGTACTTGCTTGGTCTCAGCTTGAGTTCACCTTTCAACAATTTGAAACAGAATACGATATCATTGAATACCCTCCTGTACATCAATGATTTAAGATCAATGTTACAGATTGATTACAAGATTGATTACATCAATGATCAATGTTTTACATTCGTTCGTGAGTAAAATGCTTGAAATTAAAGCGAAGAAAATACTAACCTTTGTGAGACTGGTCCGGATAGGGCGCACGGTTTGGCTGGTAATTCCATCTGTCACCCATTATTAGATGTACGACCTAAAATTAAATCCATAACTTTCGTGTTTTTTAGCATTGAAAGAGGATTATCTTTCGATCGTCATGTCGAGTATATAAGCTCTTTATTGAAGAGATAAGGGGTTTATGACTTGATATTTATCCCAACACTACTTCTGAAAGGAAACCTTCAACACTAAACCCAAAGCTGCAGAAAAGTGAATCCATGGAAGAATCGATCTCGCCGTGAAAAGAAGCGATGTCACACGACTCCTCATGAGACAATATAATGATTGGAGCGCCGTTGCTCGAAAGGCAGTCCCTTTGATGGGTGAACGTTTCGCGCCCAACCAACAACAAAAAGAAACATGGTTTACTTTGGCATTCATGCGAGAATCTTGGAATTTCGCTGAAGCTTTACATCCCCATACTTTTCGTATCCGTTTGCCCGAAACATTTTGGGAACTCGAAACTCCAGAGAAAAAGTAATGGATCACACGAAGAATTAAAAATGGCTAGCGTAATGGAATGTTCCTTAATGAAATTGCGCGCTCCAGTGCAAAACTGTGCTCTACCAGAGACCTTGTTAGAGTTGACAAAAATTTCCTTTCTTTTGTCATAACTATGACATATTTCTTCATCTTCCTTTAGTGTAG